GATAAAACCATTTGGATATTTAGTCCCACCTAATAATTACAATATATAATAAAATATTATAAATAAAAGAACGACGACGCTCAATATTATTAATTATTTTAACTTACATTCGGTATCTGGTGGTGCTACACCACCCTTAGTATCTGCAAGAATAAAAGTAATAACTGAATATGCTCCTTCTCCAATGGTGCTCTGTTATTTTTTGATATAAATGTTAATTAGAAACAATTGAAGCACTTATATAAGAAAATTGATACTTAAAGATGATTATAACCTCCCGAGAAACGTCAATTGACTATCACAAGGTCACTCAGGGTCTTTTTGCATAATCCTCTACTAAGTGTAATAATAAGTGTAATGGAATTATAATAATTACTGTAACTTTATAAATTCCATAACCAGGATCAGATGAAGGTGCAATCCCAGCTTCTACGGTCAGTGCTGAAGTATCATATTTTGGAATAGCAGATCTAGCATAAACTTTTTGGTCTAAAGTGTTATGAAAATGAAAGAATTATGATTCAAATTCTAATGTTAACATTCTCTATTTAAATATCTTCGTTTTTTTTTTCAAATCAAAATTTTCATTTATGTGTGATCACTAGTGTTGTTAGTCGATCGACTAATAGTCGACTGACTGATTCATCGGCGAAGTCGTTTGCTTTATCGACTTAGTAATTAAGGGACAAATTCAGGGTACTGCTACTCAAATGGTTAAACCATGCGTATTTCTTACTTTATCTGTGTAAACGACAATAGTCGAATTTTTACCAATAAATATTTAGTTTGTCGACTAAGTCGACTAGCCCCTAATCGCTAGTGATCACACAAAATTTATCGAATTCAAAACTAATTAGAAAATAACAACGTTTTTCCCAAAATTATAAATTTGGCAAGAATTTGGTCTTTAATTGGTTCAAAATATTAAAAAACAATATTTTATTAAATTATTACATGCCTCTGAATTCTCCAAATCCCACAATTGAAAAGGGGTAGAGGTCGATATCTTCTTTGCGGTTAAAATGTGTGGCGCGAGTTTGATCTAATAATCACAACATTGTAAGCACTTACATATCAAAATAAGTATATCGAAATAAGTACATATGTACTTACCAAAATTCCACTTAGTATAATTACATATGTACAAGAACAATCCACTAGAATATAACTTAAATTTATAAACATTTCCGGCCGAAACAGTGAAATTGCTTGGAACTCAGACATCATTTGGAGGATCTATGGCAAAAGAATTTTTAGTTATTGTATTGTAATGGTTGTAATTGACAGATCAATAGAATTTACCAAAATTTCCAATTGATGTGGGAAGCTTTCTCGGCATAACACCGGTAAATGAACAACTGATGCAGAGCAAAATAACAATTAAGACCGAAAACGATTCTAGTTTAACTATTCTGGTAATCATTTTAATCAAATTTAATTTTTCAATCTATCTATTTTGCTGTATGAATTGACGAAAAAAATAAATAAATGAAAAATACTAATAAAAAATTGCAGAAGTTAGTTTAATGAAAGATAGTTGTAACATTCGCTTACTCTACCATTTCAATGCGAGGATAAGTCCTTAAAACCTTGAGTATCTAATGCTTATATATGCTTTCCTGTAAATTACTCAAAGCTGCAAGATTTAAATTAGGTCAGACATTGATATAGGTTCTACAGTTCGCATAATAAAAAAAATAATTATTGATTACGAGTTATCAATATTAATTAATTTTATATTCCTTGTAATATATGCAAATTTGATGGGTTACATGTACGTATGAATTTGGTCGACAAAATTCATAATTGTGTACTGTCTGCACAGGTAAACTAAAAATAGAGAACCCTCCCCTTAAATTCGAATTTTCGTTTAACGTTATTCTCTATCCATCTGTTGAGCTCCCCTCAAATCAAACAAATAGAAGTAACAACAAATTGAATGGTCAACATGGTGATTGGCGAGTGAAATAGCGATGGCGCAAAAATTTAGCGGTACCGTGATTTCCGAGCCAAATCAGAACAGAGGATTTTATCTCAAACTATTGAGATCATGAAAACCAAATAATTATATTCCACCGTGATTGTTTAAACATTTGTTGAACCCCTCGTATCGATTTGGAACAAGGTGTCTAGCTATTAATAGTTGAATTAGCTAGCAAAAATAGCAAAAATAGCAAACAGTAATCACGACAATATGGCCATTTACTGGGAACACTTTAAGTACTTGTTATTGGTTAGGTTGTAGACGATAACTAATTATCGTCGAGATATAATGCGAAGCACGTGCCGCGAAACGGCACATGTTCCGCGTTATAAATCCCGACGATAATTAGATTTATCGGCTGCAACTTAACTGATAACATTTTTATCCGTAATGTCTGACGTAAGCACTGTCGTTTTTCGTATATATTATTCGATTTTCTAATCATTTAACTCACTTTTACTCTTTCTTTATTTTCGCTTACTTTTCACTTTCGCTCACTATTTTTTTCTTTTTATCTTTGTTTTTTTTTCTTCGCTCAATTTTTTTTCTTAACTTTCATATTATAAGTTTTATACTAGTTTCACAGCTTCCTACGCAAAAAGAAATAAAATCAGAAAAGTGATCAAAAAATGAGTTATCAAATGATTAGAAAGTGATATACAAAAAACGTTCAGTGCACACATAGGACATGTCGGATAACTTATAAATATTGCTTTATTGCGCCTTTCACAATCTTTCCTTGCACCTTGTTTATTAGTAGAATTTTGATGATCACGGGAAAAATTGATCAATTCTGGCCCATCTTAACTTTTGAGAATCTTCCTGTATGAGTTGGTTACACGTACAGAATTTTTTTTTTTTTTTTTACCCAGGAACGCCAATTGGCGTACTTTATTCATTTATTATATTACATATTACCGTATATGTACAAAATTACCATAAAATGACGATATTATTACTATATATATACAAGAATGTAACATTGGCAACTGTTAGTAGCGCCCCTTTAACTTTGTTTTTATTATTCGCTATCATTTCTAAAGCTTTTGGATCCGGGATATATTCACCCCATCTTGCTTGCGTAAAGAATACCACGTTCATTTATTGTTACTATGTGTATTCATACTGCTGAGTCCATGTATTGTTACTCTTTTTATATTAGATGCAGTGAAAATAACAGAATTTTTTTCATGCTATTTTTTATTATTTAATATTTTAAAATATAAATTAGAAATAAATTTATAGTCACATTTAGAATAAATTTGACATGAAATACATGAATTGAATAGTTAAAATATGATTAATCCGTACATAAATCAGATATTGTGAAGATAAAATATACAGCATTGATTA